TTTTTTCTCCATAAATGTGAACTTGCCTGACATTTAAAATCAATGGGTCATATATGATCGAACAAAAATCAAACGATAACATACAAATACGTATATCTTTTTATAACGATATATTTAAAATATTTTCTCAATTGGAATTACCTGAAGTATATGAGAAATCGTTTGAGATCGTTCTTAGATATTCCACCTATCGGATTAATGTCCGCGCTGCTACAATCATATTTCGTTAAATATCCACGTAATGCCTCGTCGACATTCGTACTTCCAAGTACTAAAAGACCACCTGGACGTCCACGGATCCAAAGCATCAATTGTGCGAATAAATATGCTATTATCATACGTAGACGTGCCTAAGAAAAATAAAAAGAATAAATATAAATAAATAATAACAATAACAATAATAATAATAATAATAATAATAATAATAATAATAATAATGATGATAATAATAATAAATACGAGAAGAGTTGATTATTTCTAATGGATACGAGGACTATAAAACCCACTTGAATATTTTGCAAGGCTTGATTTTCTCTCGGGGAACCACCGTGTACCTTAAATCTCGGCACTATCTTCGTTATCTGTTGAAATATACCTAAAATTGCTGATACAGCTGTATCTATAATAATATTATGATGATAAGAACCAATTTGTTTCGCCAATTCGGCTGCCCTTGCTTTAGTTTCGGCAGACGAATTTTCCGTTCCCATATAACACGTAACCAAAAGTGTATTACAAAGTTGTTTAGGATCGGTCGGTACGTATTCGCAATCACCAACAATTTTTCTAATATCTGATAGTACCTGAGCATCTGATAATTGAAATTTTATTTAAGTCCAAAAATTTATTTCAAACATTCATTATTATATTTATATTTTTTAATAATTAATTAATGTTAAAAATATTATATTTATATTTTATTAAATATTTTTTATTAAATATTTTTTATTAAATATATATATATATATTTGTTAAATTTTAAAAATAAACGCTCACCTCCTTTGCTAACAGATTCAACTATTAAATTACACATACTGTAGACCAAGCAAGCCGACGAAGAAGAATCAACGCCTCCGCTTAAAGGTAAGAAAAATCCACCTTGACAGGAACGTCTTTGGAAATACATGCAAAAGAAAAAAAAAATATATATATATATATATGTATTTTTGTTTTGTTTTGTTTTTAACTTATCTATATGTAAAAATTAATTTTTTAACTTATAATTACCTCAAATAATCCCATAACCAGCAAGCAGGTGCCAATGAAATTTCTTCCTCTGGCGAATGATACGTTGCATTTAATTTTCCATTCATGTTACCAAATGAATTCTTTTGTTCCATATTTATTAATTTGTCAGAAGGATTTGTAATTAGATTCTCCGAAGAAAGAACAAAATCTATTTTAACACGTGGATATGAATCCGAGCGTGCTGCCGAATGAGATCTCGATCTTATATTATTTCTATAACTTCTACGAAATAATAAACGGATTAAAGCTTATCGATTCGTATTTGTTTTCTTTTTTTTTCTCGCAGAAATAAAAAAAAAAAAAAAAAGAAAAGAAAAAAATAATAATAATAATAAAATTAATTATTGCATTGCATTATGCTAAACCTTATGTCTTCCAGATCGAACGTCGCGATGGTAACTTCGACGTCCTCCAATGCAAATTGTTTTCCACGATTTAAAATATATCCATTGAGAAATATACCGGAGCCACCGTTGAAATAAATCCTTCCGCCGTCGCATCCACGTAAATTACTGAATATGTAACAACCACCGCATTTAAATGTTGCAGATTTAACGAGATCCACGGTTACATAGGCCTTACGTAGTTCGAAATAAGAACCACTTCCTATAATTAATAAAAAAACAAAAAAAAAAAAAATATATATATATATATATATATATATATATATATACATATGAGATTTTACTTCGATCAATTTTAACAAGAATATAAACAAATTATTGATTGTTGAATGTTATTGTTGATCATTGAAATTATCACCGTTAGCTATTATCTCGACGCCGTCCATCGACATTGGTATGTGAGAGCTACGTGGATTCCAAAGTTCCTCGCAAATTTCAAAACCAATACAAGTGTCTCTCGTTGAAATAACAGCGTCACCGAAAGGTACGACATTTTGTCCGGTCAATTGTGATATCATTCTTGGTAAAAAGTAATCCTCTACGGTACGTTCCTAAATTTTAATACAAATATCATTAACGTTTTTTTTCTCTTTCTTTTTTGTTTTTTTTTTTTTTTTGTTTTTTTTTTTTAACCTTAGCTGGGTGCACACCTGAAAATAATTTCAAGTTGCGCACTTCGAATTGACGCTACACCCTTTAAGGCACTTTGAACAATTGCGTAAAATAATTTTGAGTCCAAGAAAAAAAAAAAAAAAAAAAGAAAAAAAATACTGTTATATTCTTTGAGACCTCGGAGATAATAATCAATAGGTTTAAAGATGCATTTTCAATTTAGTCATTATGAAAACAGAATTCATGAATCGTGCAATCCACAAATTGTTTTAATTCAGCTCAAAATTGATCTGAGGTATTCTACAATATCACAGGCACAACTAGGGTTAATCAAGAAAATATATTATATATATATATTTGTTAACAAAAAATATATACCTTTGTCCAAGGAGAAAACCATCTTGATTCCCGATAATTTCCATCCTCGCATAACAACATTTTTGGTCTGATCAATAATACACACCAATTTAGAAAGGTAACTCTGCAATTGTAAGTTACATTTTTATGCATCACTGGCATCCCAACGTCAACCAAAATATCTTCGCAAATACTAGACTTCATGAGCATTCCTAAAACTTCCCAACAATGTAACAATGTATCAGATTCGTAGAAGTGATCCTCGCAACTGTAACCACTGAACAACAAGAGATAAATATAAACTGGATTTTTGTCGTGTCTTTTGTCGAATATAAAATGGCCAAAAAAAAAAAAAACAAAAAAAAAAAAAAAATAAAGAGACCGATGATAAAACGATGATCAACGTTAAATTTTCTTCATACATACCAGATCTCTAATTCTGGACCACTTCTATAAGTTGCACCGGCTGCTTTGGCTTCCTCTATACTTTGAAGTATCCTTTTAAAATTACCATCGAAATCCATGGCCCATTGATTCAACGTGCAAGCAGCTACAGTGACTTTCCGACCCATATTGTGACCCTTTTTTATTTCACTTAACTTTCGTAATCTATGGATTATAAAAATATAAAAGGGAAAAAAAAAAACAAAAAACAAGGGAAAAGAAAAAACAAAACGAAATATTAACAACATTGTAATTCACGTTTGTCTCTGTATTAATTTTATTATGATTGACAAAAAATATAATTTTACGAATTCTCCAATAGGAGGCAATTGATGTAAAGTACCTGACAATATTTCACATGTATATGTATATATATATATATATATATATAGGTATATAACAATTGCAGCTTGTCAATCAGAATATATGATCGATATAGCAAGGTAAAGAAAATTGTTCGATGGAATGAATCCCTGTACACTCTGTTAGCATGTTTGGCGGTCTCTGATTGATCAATAACTTTCAGAACCCGGCACCGCGAGGTAGACGGACAAATAGGCAGATACCTTTATGTGCACATTACACACTAACACTTACAAGAATCTCCACAAACATATATACACTAATACTAACTAATCGGAATAATAGTATGAAAAGTTTTAGACATATCTTATAGCTCATCATCAATCAGTACTATATGACTAAACTATAGGGGTGCACATGCAGTGAACTTGATTAATTTTGACAAATGAATTATTTGTATTATCTTCTTTTTTTCTTTTTCTTTTTCTTCTTCTCTTTCTTATGCTTTTTTTTTTTTTTTTTTTTTCATCAATACTAATCGTACATATTATTGTAATAATGAAATAATATATCGGATATAATGAAATGATGGAAGATCGTGGTCTATATAGATATATAACGATCATGATCGAATAGAAATGGTCGATAAAATTTGAAATTTTCGTTATCAGTTTTTTTATCGAATATTGAAAAAAAAAAGATACTATGAAAAGAATTTGGAATTAACTTAGAACAAGCTTAGAATAGATATACGAAAGTACGGCAAATAATCAGAATGCCAGTGACTCCGCCCCCAATACACGACGACCGTTGTCAGGCAATACCTAACTATACTCTACAAATCTCTCCTCATCGGCTCGTGGCTTTCTTCTCAGTCGGCCAAGCTTATTCTACCGAAGAATGATAACATTCTAACAACTTCTAACATCGACTATATCCGCAAGAGAGATTGTTATCAAATGGCAAGTAATTATTTGTATTTTCTCTTTTTTTTTTCTTTTTTTTTTTTTTTTTTTTTTTTTTTCTTTAAATTCTACCAATACGAATTGCTTGACCATTGAATTATATCAAGTGGCAAGTTAATTTGAGAAAATTCGATTAATTATTATTTATTTTTTCCACTTTCTCCCCCACCCCCTCCCCGCCGCCTTGAAATTGTTAATAACATTGTAAATATTACGAGAATTTATCGAACGTTAAAAGAGCTTTTTTTTTTTTTTTTTTTTTTTTTTTTTTTTTTTTTTTTTTTTTTTTTTTTTTTTTTTTTTTTTTTTTAATCAAAGCTAGTTGTCCCCTCCTTCAGACTGTATCATTTAAAAAATTATTAATCAAATATTTTTAAATATTTTTACGAGAAATTAATGATCAAATGACAGAAGAGTTGAGTTAATTTAACAAAAAAATTTACTCACAACTTTCGTTTTGTTCTTTTATTTAATATCACTCATAACGAACAATCATTAATATTATGAGAAATTATCAAATGTTAAAAAAGAAAAGAAAAAATAGAGAAGAAATTAATTAATTGAATAAGAATTTATTAATAACATTTGAAATAAATCTTTTTCCTTTCGTAATTTTTTTCAGCGCGGCGCCAACAAGTGTCGTCCTTGGAAATTATAATCATTTAAAGAAAATTAAAAGGGAATTCGTCTTCCAAAGTAATGAAATGATCATCTTGTCTTTAAAAAAAAAATGTCAAGTTCGATGAAATATCAGAATGATCGTGAGATCATTGAGGACGATGGAACGGAAATTAATGGAGAGAAGAATGATGATTATAATGATGACGAGAGATAACAAAAAATGACAGATCTATTATCGTCCAGTAAAGTACGTGAACTTCAAGCTATGTTGTTCCCAATTCGATCAATCTCTGGTGGGTTGAATAAATATAAATATAAATATAAATATAAAAATATAAAAATATATTAATATAAATTCAATTATCTCGAAATTCAAAAACAGTTCACAATTTTCATTGGTTCATGATTTTGAAGTATCGATCACTTTTCAAATATCTTATTTCACGTGCTTAAAGTGTTGTGTGTGCTGAATGAGTCATGTATAGTGTATATATGTGTATGTTATACTATACATATATAACTATAATACATGGTTAAGGTCGTGAACGTTAGTACATTGTACCCTAAACTGAATGATTTGATGCTAATAGAATATTTTCTGTGACACTTGGAGGAAAAACTTTTTTAACTATCCAGGGACAAAACTTCCCAGGGACGATTTTATTTCTACAAAACATTCAACTACCTTTAAACTTGAACTTCTATCGATTTCTAACATTTTTCTTTTGCATTTTTATCATTATTTTTATTTTCATTTGTATCGAAATTTCTTTTACTCCATATCACGGAAAACATTTGAAAATTCGTTTAATCGAGGATCTGTTAAACTTCGACATTAATATTTATTTATATTTCATTAATCTCAGAAAATCAATCGTATAGACGATTTTGAAAGATATACGATCCTTTTAATTTTACTTATTTTTCTTTTTTCTTTTTTCTTCTTTTTTTATTTATTTATTTATCTATCTTTAATCCTTCAATAAATCTTATCTCTCCACGAAACAATAATAATAATAATTTAATATAGGTACGGCATTGACGAGTTTGCAAACACCGCAGGAATCACAAATATTGGAACGTTGTAGAATTTTAAACGACGGCATCGAAACGAATTTATTTTCAAGATCCTTGGAATCGGGGAAACAACGAAACACGAAGGAAACACTTAGAACATTGAGCTCGCAATGTATCGCGGACAATATCATTCAAGAAATGGCACGTTGGCCAACGGAGTGTCAAGTGAATATGAAGAAAAAAAAAAAAAAAAAAAAAAAAAGAGAGAGACAGAAAAACGAGAAAAAAGAACAAACAAAAAAATAATAAAGATTCGCTAATACGATAACATTTAAATATCATTTCAGGTAATCCAAGAGAGGATTCGTCATATAGATTATAATCCGATTAATCCAGAACCATTTTATTTATCTAACGGTAAGGAACCCACGCCAAAACCAATTGACGATGAGTTAGGTACCGTTATATTTCGTTACTGCCCAACTAGTGTTACAAATTACGTGAGTAATATTACATAGATCATTGCCATTAATATTGTCGTATTTATTCGATCGATTTAATATAAAATTAAAAAAAAAGAAAAAAAAAGAAAAAAAAAAGAAAAAAAAAAATATTCATAACGATCAGTTTAATAGATCATGCGTTGGTGGAAATCCAATTCTATCGTCTTCCAACAAAACTTTCAAGGATACGAACGAATACACGTTAAATTCTACGAAGGACGAAAAAAACATTACCGATATGTTCTTCATTGCTGATACCAATAGCGATCTAAGATTCGAGTCACGATTCGAATCTGGAAATCTTGGAAAGGTCGTTAAAATTACCGATACGTATTATCAATTGCATTTGAGAAGGGATTTATACACTCAAAGACACACCCAATGGTATTATTTTCAAATATCTAATACCAGAAGTAGAATCACTTATAGGTAAATATATATATATATATATATATATATATATATATAAATATTTTTTAATTATAAACTGTGAATCGTATATTGAATATTTCTCTTTTGTTAGAAACAACTAAAAAAAAAAAAAAAATATATATATATATACGTATATATACAATTTTTTTTCTATTACTTCTAACGAAGGAAAGAATTGGCTCTGAATTTATTTCTTTCTTTTTTAGTTTTATGAATTTTTCTTTCTTTCTTTCTTTCTTTCTTTATTTCTTTTTTCTTCTCTTCTTAAAGACTTATTAAAAAAAGTGTATATATATATATATATATATTAAATGTTGATTTGTCGATAGATTATCGATCGTAAATATGTGTAAGGAGGAGAGTCTATATAATGAAGGACTTAGGCCACTTTTGTACTCGACCGAAGATGCACGAACTAAATCTATAGGTTGGAGAAGATGTGGGGAAAATATTAGTTATTACAAGAATGGCGAATCGTAAGTTAACGGGGAGGTGAAGGGGGAGGCACTTTGTCGTTAAAGAAAAAAATAAAAATAAAAAAAAAAAAAGAGAGAGAGAGATAGAGAGATAGAGAGATAGAGAGATAGAGAGATATATATATATATAGAGAGAGAGAGAGAGAGAGGGAGAGAGACGAAAAAGATCCTGAAAAAAAAATATTTTATCGAAAGAGAGAGAGAGAGAAAAAAAAAAGATCTCGAATAAAATATTTTACAGAGACGAGGAAAAGGAGAAGCATACATTAACGTTTAACATATCCTTCCCACACGATCATGACACAGTTTATTTGGCACACTGTTACCCATACACGTATACGGATTTGCAGGTAAACAAATTTCAACAATTAATTTTAAATTTATTAAAATCAATCTATGATTCGAGCCGACGATCATGTTATCCGACGACCAAAACAAAAGCAAGAAAAAATATTACTTTCCTTTTTTGTGTAATTTGACAAAAAAAAAAAAAAAAAAAAAAAAAAAAAAAATGAAAAAAAAATAAAAAAAAAAATAAAAACTTTTTCAACTAATAATACAAAATCATAGATTGAAATGGCTTGGAAAAAGAAAATAATCTGATTGATCACGACGATACTTTCTTCTTTCGATTTTGTAATAAAAATGATTTTCATTTTTAGGAATATCTGACAAAAATTGTCAGCGATCCGATAAAAACAAGATTTACGAAGTTACGATTGTTGTGCCGTACATTGGCTGGGAATGGTGTTTATTATTTAACGATTACAGCGCCGCATACATACGACGAGGATGTAAGAAAAAAACGTGGAGTTGTAATAACGGCCAGAGTCCATCCTGGCGAGACACCGTCCAGTTGGACAATGAAGGGCATCATCGATTTTCTTACCGGTGAATCTAATCGTGCCAAGGTAAAAAAAAAAAAAAAACAAAAAAAAAACCCCTCGTAGAAAAGATTCTTTTCTCTTTCTTCTTTTCTTTCTTTTGTTTGTTCCTCGAGTGTCGATAAAAAACTATCTGACGTAAAAAAAAATAATTGCAGGAGTTACGAGAACGATTCGTATTCAAGCTAATACCAATGTTAAATCCCGACGGTGTTATAGTTGGTAATAACAGATGTTCCCTATCTGGTAAAGATTTGAACAGACAATATAGAACGGTAATGCGTGAAAGTTATCCATCAGTTTGGCATACGAAATTGATGATACGAAGACTCCTCGAGGAATGTGGAGTAACTATATACTGTGACCTTCACGCACATTCTAGAAAACATAATATATTTGCTTATGGATGTGAGAACAAAAGAACTGGATGTACTAATGCAAGACTATCGGAACAAATATTCCCTTTGATGTTACATAAAAACGCCGCTGATAAGGTTCGTGTATTTGGGACCAAATAGAGATGCATATATTACAAGTAAAAAGATTCAAAAAAAAAAAAAAAAAAAAAAAAAAAAAAAAAAAAAAAAAAAGAAAAAAAAAAAAAAAAAAAAAAAGAGAGAGGGAAGAGAAAAGAGAACGAATTGATATTTCATATGATTTTCAATGCTTTTCTTGCGTTTCTTTTTTCTTTTTTTTTTATTTCTTTTGTTTTGCTTTTTTGTTCTTAAAATTGTTTTTTTCTCCTTCTCACAGTTTTCCTTCGAAAATTGTAAATTTCATGTGGAAAAAGGAAAGGAAGGTACAGGTAGGGTCGTAGCTTGGTCAATGGGTGTACAAAACAGTTATACGATGGAAGCTTCAATGGGTGGCTCGAGATTAGGATCTAGATCTGGTACACACTTTTCTACACATGATTACGAACAAATTGGTAAAGCCTTTTGCGAGACGCTTCTTGATTTTTCTGATCAAGATCCGGCCAAGGTGATTATTACATGTAAAAAAAGAAAAAAAATATTGTGCGAGAATGACGTAAGGTCTCTGAACTTTTTTTCAAAATGCCTCGATCGTTTTTAATTCTGTTTTTTTCTTTTTCTTTTTTTTTTTTTTTAACAGGAAAAATTACGAACGAAAATTTTAATGAGATTGATCAAAGAAGGATCCAATGCCGAAGAACCTATTAATATCGATTTAACCGATTACTCAAGGTACATCATGATATTTATTATCTTATTGAATTAATTCTTTTTTTTCTCTCATTGAAAATATTGAAAAAAATTGTTGTCACGATCAAAATAAAATTTTTTTTTTAGCGACGAAGGTGACAACTCGGAAAGTCATGCATCGGACGAATCGATGATAAATCCTTACGACGAAGTACACAATGAATATCATCCTGCACCACCGCCATCTCCTAATTTTGGTTCCACTGGAAGTATGAATTTATTGAAGAGAAGAATAAGAACGAAGGAGATGGAACGAAAATATTTGGAACGAAGGAAATTTTTGGTAATAATCATTTTTTATATTCTTATAAATTTCATTTGTTTATAATTTTGCAAATTTTAAATTCTCTAGAATTATGTCAAAAAGAACAAAAAAAAAAAAAAAAAAAGAAAAAAAAGATAAAGAAAAAAAGGAAGAAAAAGAATTATTTGCAATCATGTAGATTTAAATACTTTATAAATTTCTCCCTCGGAAAAAAAAAATTATGACAATAATTTATAATCTTGTAAATATCAAGTTTCTATAACAATCACAAAAGAAAAAAAGAAATTATCTACAACCCCGTAAATTTGGACTGTATAATCTAAAAAAAAAAAAAAGATAATCTCAAATCTTATAAATTACAAGTCAATATATACAACAATATTAAAAAAAAAAATTATTTACAATGTTATAAGTTTCAACTCTTTATGAAAATCTTCAAAAAAAGAAAAAAAAAGAAAAAAGAAAAAAGAAGAGAAGAAAATAAAAAAAATAAAAAAGAAATAAAAATCATTTGTGATCGTATAAATTTGAACTCTCCATAGCAATCTAGAGCCGTCATGGATTTGCATACGACTGATCCAGGAAGTGATCTATGTTATATGACAGATTGGATCGACGATGATCGATCGAAGACAAGAGGTGAATAATTTTTTCATTATTTAATATAATTTATTTCCTCATTATAAATTTCATTTTATTTGTCCAATTTATTTATTTCTTTATATTTTTTTTTTCTTCCTTATAAGTTATACGTAATATTATTGGAAAAATTTATTTATATGGATTATAATTTCAGGTATCTCAGCAAGAATTCATAGACATAAAGGAGAAAATATTCTTGATTTACGAGGAGGATACGAAGGGAAAACAAAGAAAGACGAACGTACAGTAGAATGTTCTTTACTTCCTGCCATAATTAGACCACGTAGTTTATCATTGGGTGAACATTTATTGCCCGACGAGGATAATCGAAAAATTGAACAACGAGTACGTTGTCATCGTTTGTCCAGGTACTTCGAGATTATAATTAAAGAAAAAAAATAAAAAAAAAAAAAAAACAATAAAAATAAAATGATTTATAAAAAAACAAGGAATTTAAAAAATATTTCTTTCCAATCTAGGGTATTGAAGCATCCTTGTACAGCATCCGTCGAAAGAAAGGTCTCATCTTTCAGACAACAATTTTGGATGGGAATACCAATTCGTAATACGGAAAATGGCATGACTGTTATTAATAATGATTTCGGAAAAGTACCATTAAGTTGGGGAATATCTAGTCTCGCTTTAACAAGTTGTAATAGAAATAATGAAATATTGTTAAGGTTAACGAAATGATTTGAATTTTTCTGTTTGTTTCTTTTTTTTCCTTCATATAATCAATTGCTATAATTAATTCGATCTTTCTATTTCTTTAAAAATTGATCATCGTATGTATTTTCTTTTTTTTTTTTTTTAGGACGTGCACAGAAAAATTACGAACGCTCGATTATTTCGAAAGAACGACGGAATTGAGAAAGACAAAAAAGAAATCACGAAGGAAACAGAATATCATTGTTAACGAACAGATTAGATCGAGAGATAAGGAGGTTGTTCAAGATGATATACGAGATGATAAGAAGGTCAAAGTTACGAAGAAGAAACGATCCCGATTGAAATGGGAAATGGCAGTGAATTTGAGTTCTAACATAAAGGACAATAACAATGGTACAAATAATAAAAATTCATTTCTATCTGTTAAAGCGGATTCTTTAAAATTATTTACAACTACTACATCGGCGAAGAAAGAACGAAGAGAAGAAAAATTAGATACACGCGTTAAGAATAATAAAAATGATATCGTCGTAGCTACTGAGAGAATAATTGCTAGAAACAAAATTAACAAAATTCGTACTATACAACAATTGAAATCATTAACAGCGCCTGTATCGGATAGCTCGAATTCGGAGGATAGTTTGAACAATCCGAGTAAATTGAAGAATGGAAAGAGAAAACAGAAAAAAAAGAAACAATTAAAAAAAACGAGAATATCTAATGGCACTACAGGAAATAATAATAAAAAACGCGTTGCTAGTGCAAAAACAATGAAATAATCCATTTCATTGAGTGAAAAAAATTAAACTGCTCTGATTATTATTCTCAAAATATTCCATTGATTGCATAATAAAGTGATACCCAGCTATACCTCTCTACAAGTATATAAGTATATATATGTATGCGTAACATAACGAAGTCGAAAAAACAGAAAATTATTTATTATGTGCTATTCATTCTATCGCATTAATAAGCCTTTCAATGAATTAACAATTATTCCATAAATACACCAAACATATAACATATAATTATCGATCAACTTATGTTTTATATTGATTAATACATATAATGAAATTTATATGATTGTGTAAATTCAACTTCTGATATAACTCACGTAAAATAAATCATTATAGCTTAATAGTATGACTTGATAAGAAGATAACGACTTGCAAAAAAATATATTATATCAGCCAAAGAAGAAAGAATTATATTACCGAATAGAAATATTTGTAGTAATTATTTTTACTGTTACTTTTTAATTATATTAATTTGTAAAATGTAACACATATTAAACAACTTCCATCTGATTTTTATGTTATTATAAAAACTGTTCAAAGTTCACTTACTAACTTTTTCTCAAGTAATATATAATACAATTCAGATTGATGAAATTTTTAAAATTTTTGAATTATTTAAGTAACTAAATTAATACCAATAGAAATATATAAATACAATGATGAAGAAATAAAATACAAAAAATAAAATGAATGGTAATGGTATGTATCTTTGCTATAGTCACAGAATGAGATGAAGATGAAATTTTATTGTTAATGTTTATTCTATTTTTTCACAGTTGGCTTTATTATTTAATCATTCCATGTGTTACATGTAAGTAATGCCATATAGAGAATTAGATGTGTTCCATTAGTATGACTTATATTGAGATAAATTACTTTTTATAAACTTTATTAAATTTTATATGATTGGTCTTAATTCTATGTAACATATAAATTGATAATTCTTACCTTACAATTAGATTCTTCTAAATCATATATTTTTCTTATTCCTTTTTCTTGTCTCAGGAACAAAAATACCTTCTCAATTTTCTGGATAATATTAAAAACTGCTATATATGTCAGATTTCAAGTGGCCACTCCAGCTTCTTCACAATTACGTATTGTATCTTCTAATTTATTAATCCCTGAAATTATTGATCATTTAGCAAACGTTATTATAGCATTTAGTAATACTATTCTTTAATGGCGTAATAATTGAAATTTTTATATAATTAAACTACTTTCCATTTTCCTGTTTCCCATATATGTATATAACATTTCAGTTCTACTTTGAAATGATGTTGTCTTTATTTTAAGTGAACTAAAGTTCAAATAAATCCCTAATGAATATTTATCCAATGAAATAACAATTTCAACAAAACATTGAATGTTGCATATCATGAATTTACGTAATCTTGATATTCATTATCGTTGAAAGTATAATCATAATTGTAAATTAGAAATACAGAAACATAACTGACAAAGAATGACAATAATATTTTAAAAGACTTTTCATTCTTCGACGTAGAAATCTTAGCAAATATTTATAAAATATTTTTTTATAGAAATAAAACAACGTACCTTCCTTTAAAGAAAGGTTTCCAAAATAGATAATACATCAAATTTAAAAGACAACATGAGAAAAAAAGTTTTGCCAATGAACATAACCTACAAAAGGTAAAGAGTACGCATGTAATCAAGACAATATATGTTTAATTCACGATTACAAATGTAACATTGAGATTATATATGTTACATTAGAAGAACAAAAGTACAAAATATATAAATGGAAAGTAAAACAAAGAAAGAGCGAGCGAGAGAGAAAGAGAGAGAGAGACAGGAAGAGAGAAAAATAGACATTAAACAACACTCACATAACGCATAACGCGTATCTACATAAAGACATACGTCAGCTAATATTATTTTCTGCATGACTTGCTTGTATGTAAAATAGGGCACCGATCGAAGACCTGGACATCCGTTGATTGTCTTGATTCGTGTTAATAATCAGTTACTTTATTAAATTTACTTTCCATGAAACTATAAGAACGAAACACGTCAAAACTCTGACGATATGACGCGACTATTCAAGAATACACAATGCGCGTATATATATATATAGCTATTTTCATTGAATCGATTATTTTCGACCTATCAAAATCGTTCGAGATATAAAATGATATATATATACACATACATATATGTACATATATAAAATGTATGTTAAAAAGAAGAGAGAAAATATGATGAATATATATATTCGTATATATATATACATATATATATATATTAAAATTATAAAAATGTAGAAGTACCTTTATAATATTAGGAATACCAGGAAAATATGCCGAGAGAGAAAGAGAGAGAGAGAGAAATAAACTTCAAGTTAAAAATATTCTTCCATACTTTCCGACCCGACGTTCTTATTCCATTTTACATAAATATACTCATTGTTCGTCGTAACTATCATAATATCGTAACTATTGAAATTAAAATAACGAAAACAACTGTATAATTATCTTTTATCTCAAAAGTCTAAAATAAGTACTTATACAATCTTGAACGTTTAGAATAGGCCATTATTTGCACGAATAAAAATAGGATAAATAATATAACGTTTTAACAAAATTACGCGAAAATTGATGCAACTTAGATGAAACGTTAATTATCTTTTAATTCGGCAATCAAATTGGAGACATCTTTCTGAGTACCAAAAAAAAAAAAAAAAAAAAATACATATATTATAAATAACTCTGATTAGAAATATTGTTTATAGATTTTATTTATTCATTATGTTGAAATAATAATAATAATAATAATAATAATAATAATAATAATAATAATAATAATAATAATAATAATAATGATGATGATGATAATGATAACAATAGTAATGATAAAGAAAAAAAGAAGGAAAAATAAGGAACACAATAATACGTTAATAAATTAATTCGAATCGAATATTGAATATCGAATTGTAATTTTAACATTTAAAATATGTAAACACGCTTTTTATTCATTCAGCTTACGCGAGAATAAATAATGATTGAATCTATAATAGATATATACATATATATATGTATATATATATATATATATATCATTATTGAATCATTGTCGAAAAATGAATTTCTGTTTGTAAAAGAAGTAGTAGGGGATCCTAAGAGGTTCGCTTATAAAAGAGAGCGATCGTAAAGCGAGATCGACAGTTTGTTGGTAATTCGTTGATAAAGGTGTTTATATTTTATATTCGTCTTAAGGAACAAGTAAGTTTCGTCAAGAGAAAGAGAGAGAGAGAGAGAGAGAGAGAAACAATTGGATTTTTTATAATTTATTGATCCAATAAAAAGAGAGAAGAAAAGAAAAAAAAAAAACAATTATTAAAAAAATTCATCGTAGATCAATAAAATTATCTATCACGAGCTTTTTAACTTTTTTACGCTTTTTGCTTTTTCTTTTCTTTTCTTTTTTTTCTATTATTTTTTTTTTTTTTTTGCGCGCGTACATTGTCCGAAAAAAATTTCTCTTTCTCTTTTTTCACCTTCCTTCGAAATTCCATTGGAGATAATTTTTTTTTAATATTTTAATCATGCTTTGATAATTTCACTCGATTCTCTCTCTCTCTCTTTCTTTCTTTCTCTCTTTCTTTATAAAATAATTATTATTTAAAATGTAGGAACAAAATGTCAGTAATGGAGCCGGAAATAATTGCCGGATCTGTTGTGGAAGCTTCAGATAGTGGTTTATCGACATTATCAATGTTCTTCGTTCTTCTACTACCAACACTCATTCTCTATTACATCTATTTCCGTATTTCTAATAAACATATCATAGAACTCGCGGATAAACTTCCTGGACCTAAGGGATATCCTATTATTGGTAGCGCTTTGGAATTTCTTGGAAGTCCCGATGGTAAGTAAATATTTTTAATAAAAATGATGCATACCTATGTTAAACGTGTGTATCTAATGTGGTTTAATTTGATGATATCAATTAAGAATAAATATTTTTATATCCATCAACTTTTTACAGCAATATTTAGTAAAGCAATGAAATATGCAGAAGAATATGACCATTTAGCTAAATTTTGGATTGGACCGAAGCTCCTTGTCTTTCTGATTGATCCACGTGACATTGAGGTAATTTTGTCCAGCCATATTTACATTGATAAATCCACGGAATACAAATTCTTCCAACCATGGCTCGGAAACGGGCTTCTCATATCTTCAGGTATGTACATTTCTTTTATTTTATTTTATTTTATTTTATTGATTTCGAATTATCAAATCTTATTTCAAATTCTCAATTATGTTTTTTCACTTCGGGAAAAGTTCGATAGGAAATTGTTAGAAGATAGAGAATAGAGAAATCGTTGGGTATCTATGTATATATATATATATATATATATATATATATATGTATGTATATGTATATAGTAAACGGGAAGTGTATTTATATAGCTTGTAAAATACATAACAATGTTACTTTCATGTAATCGTTCTAGATCCCATTAAACATGCATAGGCATCGTCGTTCATTATATATTATCCAGATCGACAAGAAAATTTACATTTATTTTTTCTTTCTTCTTCTTGTTTTTTTTTTTGCATTATTATCTTTATATATTGAATATTAAATAATTCCGTATAATCGATAAATAGGATTATAAATAAACGTGAAAAAATTAACGTTCATAAATATGATACGCTTTCGAAAGAAATTATTGAGAAGTATACGCCAATGGACAAATCTATATAACTCTGTTACGTGTTAATGCAATTTCATTCCCAATTCTGAAAGTAAAATTGAAGTTTTTTTTTTTTTTTTTTTTTTTTTTTTATGATTCATAATAAGCGTGGAATAGGAAGAAAATTGAATAGGAATGCTTTATTCAAATTCTCCCATTCCCATTCAGTTTAATTACGACATCATTTTCTCTCTTCGTCTTTCTCTTTAAAATCATCAATACGCTTTTGCAAATTTTTTTTTTTTTTACAAACATTAGAACGACGTAACATTGCCGTTAAAACGATTTAACAAAAAATTAAAATGAACGATACGATACTGATATTCGTAGGACAAAAATGGCGTGCCCATCGTAAACTAATAGCACCTACTTTCCATTTGAACGTTTTGAAGAGTTTCATCGATCTCTTTAATGCAAATTCGCGTGCGGTTGTTGAGAGAATGCGGAAAGAAGACGGCAAAGTATTTGATTGTCACAATTACATGTCCGAGACAACGGTTGAGATACTTCTTGAAACGGCTATGGGCGTATCGAAGTCTACACAGGGACAAAGTGGATTTGAATATGCGATGGCCGTAATGAAGTGAGTAATTTCGTTAAATTAATCGACATTTCGAAATCGTTCAAATAAATAATTCTCATTTGTTTTCTTATTGCATCGTCTTACTTTTTAATGTTAATTTTTATTTATTTACTTTTTCTTTTTCTACTTTTTTTTTTTTTTTCTTTCTTTCTCCCCTCCTGTTTCTTTTATCTTTTCAGAATGTGCGACATACTTCATCTTCGACATACCAAAGTTTGGCTGAGACCCGATTGGCTCTTCAATCTTACCAAGTATAGTAAAGATCAGATTAAACTTTTAGAAATTATACATGGACTCACGAAAAAAGTGATCCAACGTAAGAAGGAAGAATACAAGAGCGGTAAACGTAATATTATTGATACCACCGGATCTAAAACGTTCGAAAAGGTATATTTTATTTTATCGTACTTTTTCTTTTTTCCTTTTGCCCTCCTCTTCTTCTCTTCTCCCCTCCCCGATCCCTCTGAAATTTCACGATTATATGCATAAAAGAAATTTCACAAAACGTAGGTTACCACGGTTGAAGGTCTGTCTTTCGGTCAATCAGCTGGTTTGAAGGACGATCTCGATGTCGACGATAATGATGTTGGTGAGAAGAAAAGACAGGCTTTCTTAGATCTCTTGATCGAAGCTGGTGAAAGTGGTGTGATATTAAATGAACAGGAAGTCAAGGAACAAGTAGATACCATTATGTTCGAGGTATATATTTAATAATGATCTAAGATAGGACAAAAATAATGATAGAAATGTGTATATTGACTTATAATGTTTCGTTAAAAAAAAAAAAAAAAAAAAAAAAAAAAGGGACATGATACCACAGCTTCCGGATCCAGTTTCTTCCTGACAATGATGGGTTGTCATCCTGACATTCAAGAGAAAGTAATCCAAGAACTTGATGAGATCTTTGGAGATAGCGATAGACCTGCCACTTTCCAGGACACTTTGCAAATGAAATATCTTGAACGTTGTCTCATGGAAACTTTACGCATGTATCCGCCAGTACCGATCATTGCTCGTGACGTCAAGACAGATATAAAACTTGGTCAGTCATATTTTTATTAAACGATTATTATTATTATTATTATTATTATTATTATTATATATATATATATATATGTATATATATATATATATAATGTGTGTGTGTCTGTGTGTGTGAATGTGTGTATAATTAAAATAATATATTTTTTAATATCAATTGTCTGTTTAGTTTCTGATAATTACACTATACCAAGAGGATGTACTGTCATCATTGGTACAATAAAAACCCACCGATTAGAATCGATTTATCCAAATCCAAATGTCTTCGATCCGGACAACTTCCTTCCGGAAAGGACAGCCAACAGACATTATTATGCATTTATACCATTCTCCGCTGGACCTCGTTCTTGCGTTGGCCGAAAATATGCCATGCTCAAACTAAAGATTCTACTTTCAACGATTCTAAGAAACTTCCGTGTAAAATCGGAAGTCAAAGAGGATGATTTTAGGCTACAAGCTGATATTATTCTCAAGCGTGCCGAAGGATTCCCTGTCAGATTGGAACCGAGGAAACGTGTTAGCGTTCAGGCTTAATTAATAATTAATACATTTAATCTTCTTTTTATCTTATTAAGATTTGGATATGTTAAAAAAAAAAAAAAAAAAAAAAAAAAAAAAAGTAAAATAAAATAAAATAAAGTAGGAGAGGTAATGGAAATGGGAATATTCCATTCAGAAGTTTCTCATTTCGTGTACGATTTCTAAAAATTATTTTCCCAACTATACATCGTTCAAATAAAAATTTTGAAGAAGATTGGACATATATTATGGCGTACGCAAATCTTCTCTGGGTGGATGTGCTTCGACTATAAACAAGAAAAAAAAAAAAAAAGAAAAATAAAAAAAAAAAAGGAATATTCTTTCTTGAAATATTCAGAAGTACATCTGAAGAAAATTTGTGACCATAAAAGTTGCCCATTTTATTTGAAATATCTTTTAAAATGAGACGTAGTTCGGGAAATAATTACTTGCAAAATTTCAAATGGAACAACCTGTATATGTAAGTGATTTTAAATTTTAATATTATTGAAAAATAAAAAAAAAAGGAAATATGTGGAGAAATAAAGAAATAAAAATCATATTCGTTATGGATTATGAGGCATATAATATATATGTGTACGTGCGGGTGTATATATATATATATTTATCTTATGTAATAAATTATGCAGCTGATTAATTGTAAAATTCAATTATAGAGACCTATAGATTTCCTATTTTTTTTAAGTTACACTTTTTGATCTTTTCTCTCTCTCTCTCTCTTCTCTTCTCTTTCTCCTCACGCTCACTTTCTCCAGATGAACGATCGTTTCTACTACGTATTATGTTACAAACATAATTCTATTCTAATTTGAAAAAACAAAAATATCAATTGCTATTCGTTCAAAAAAAAAAAAAAAGAGGATGATACATTTATAAAACAAAAAAGAAGAAAAATACTTCCTGTCAAGAAATGTCATCAACGATAATAAATATTAAGAATATTTAATCGATCCGTATTTAATGATACTTATGTAAAATCTAATCGACATTAATCGATTATAGTATTAATAAAAAGTTTATTATCAAAAATGATTCATAAAAATTGGAATTTTTGTAAGGATTTATTCGATGATAAAAATTACGAGGAAGCTTATAATAAAGATCAAATTGAAGAAAAATATGAAAGGAGTTTATTTGCGAAGGACAAAATAAAAAATCTTGCACAAGCAAATCGGCATAATGTTAAAAAGATTCGTAAAGATTTAAAGGCCATGTTACCAATGATACCTTTTGTCGAAGTAAAACGGTTAGGCGAACATAATCTTATTTTTTTCTATTATATTTTTTCTATTATATTTTTTTATAATCTTCACAGGTTCTATTTAAAATACAATGAAGCAATAATAGATGAACTTAAAGAGGATGGTTTAGAAGAGGCAGCTGATTTTATTCAAAAATTAATTGAATTCAATGAAGAAAAAAGAAATATTGCTGGCCCTGATACATCGATTTGGGCTAAGCCACGATTAATGGATCAACGAGATCTATTAGATAATCTTAAAGAAGCTTTAATCGCAATTGAAAGTGCTAAAAAAAACGGTAATATTTTAATAATGATTACGTTCTAAACGATAGAATAATAAAGCGTGTGTATTTTCCTTTTTCTTGGATATTGAAAAGAAACTTTTTTTTTTTTTTTTTTAACAGAGCAATGGATCGAGGCATCAAATTATTGGATAAAAATATCAATATTTTTTCAATCGAAAGGTGAAGATTGGTGGTGGGTAACAAAAACACTTTATCAAAATGCCCTAAAAGCAGCTGAATCCATTGAAAATGACAACGGATACAATATTACTGCAATACGATATCTTTATGGAAGATTTCTTTTCATGATAGGTCACAATGAAATATTGTATTTTTTTAATGAAATGATAATAAATAAAAAAAAAAATAAAATAAAATAAAATAAAATAAATAGGTCATTAAAATCAAACTGATGAATCTTGTAAAAATAGACGCTGAATGGCTCAAAGCACTCGAGTATTTGGATATTGCGCGAGAAGCATCAGAAGAAAGGATATGGAACGTTTCTAATATTTTAGGCGAGAACGAACAAACTATTTTTAAAGAATCCTGTGCTCTTATATGTAAAATACTTCTAACTCTTGTTCAACGTATCGGTGAAGAAGATTCAGAGTTTGCTATAAAAGCTTGCAACGAAGCTTTACAAAGAGCCATAGACAGCAAGTTTTCCTTTTTTTTTATACTTTCTTTCTTTCTTTTTTTCTTTCTTTTTTTTTTTTTTTGTTTAATGTTTCATACTAAAAATAATTATTTTATACAAAATCTTATATGTTTCAAGCTAGCTGGTCATTACGATTACATAGCTAATGCATTATATGAGTTAGGAAGAATACATTTGCATTATGGCTATGTCAAAGAAGCTTTGCAAGAATTTTCTAAATTACTTGCCATGGCTAAAAGAATACCAGATCCAAAGGGAATTTGTAATGCACACATGGAATTAGCCTTTGCTTATAAGGTAAAAAAAAAAAAAAAAAAAAAAAAGAAAAAGAAAAAAAAGAAAAAAAAGAAAAAAAAAAAAAAGAAAAAGGAAAATAATTATTAACAATGACGTTTACAATAACATAATTATTTTATAAATGATTAATTTAACTTATATTTAATTATATACGTATAGTCATAGTAAGATAAATCTTTTCTTACTTTTACATTATACTTCTAATTATCTATTCTATTATTATGGTTTACTTTGATCAATTAGCTTTCTCTTTCCAGTCATTTTCTAATAGTTTATTTTTATACAAAACATATCGTACCTAGAGCATTATATAAGAAGCTATAACATGTTCATTACTATGAATAATACATAAAACGTATTGATACATTTAGGGGGTTTTCTTTTTTTTTTTTCTTTTTTTTTTTTTTTTTTTCTTTACAATTAGTTTTGTAAATGTTATACACAATAAAGAAAATGGTACCATCAATTGGGATTATCAATTTTCTTTGATTATCATTCCTTCATAGGAAATTGATGATACTGCAAATACAGAAAAACATCTACATTTGTTTAGAAAGAATGCTACCCAATTTAATTTGTCATATAAACTTGCACAAGCGCATTACTATACCGGCGAGTATTTATTAAATCAGGTTAATACACCCTCCTTTTGATATATATTATATATATATATATATACGTATACACATTTGTATACAGGATGATTCATGCAAACTGTAACAATCCTTTTTTTTTTTTTTTAATCATTCGCTTTTCTCCTAACTTCAATCACATAAAAGATATAGCTAGTTACAATAGCATGAATCGTCCTGTATAAATGCATCATAATTGATCTTAATATAGGTTTTAACTTAATAAAAATAATAAAAATTATTTAACATATTTAGATGAAACCAAATTTGGCAACGTCACATCTGGAGAATGCTTTTACCTTATATTATGATCTTGGATCTATCAAGGAAGCAGATCAAGCAAGATTTATCACTGGAATATCGAGGGGTAAAGTTAAAAACATATGTTTTTGTTTCTTTCTTTTTTTTCTTTTTTTTTTTTTTATATGAGATTAATTTTGTAAAGTTAATGTTCTCTTTTTAACATAGGACAAGAACAAATTGAACAATTTATAGATCTGATATTAGAATGTGGAAAACATAATCCATATGCTCTTTTAAAAATGTGTGCCTGGAAAAGTAACAGAAATGTTTTCTGGGCCGATAAACAACGCGATATTGATACAGGTTTTTATGACTTCACTTATTTATATATTATCTTAATATAATGACCTACAATAATTAAATATTATTACATATTGCAGATTATCATCATGAATATTGTGAATATTTTACATATCCAAGTTCGTCAATTTTAAATAATTCAACAAACGAAAATTTAGAAAATCAATAATATAAGTATCTCTTAAAATTGTTTTTCATCTTATATATATATATTTATATATCATCTTCATACTTATAATTTAATAAAAAATGTATTCTCCCCCTATCTTTATCTCTCTCCTTCCCTCCTTCCCACCCTTTCTCTCTCTCTCTTTCTCTCTCTCTCTCTCTCTCTCTCTCTCTCTCTCTCACTCTCTCTCTTTCCCTCTCTCATTCTCTCTCTCTCTCTCTTCCTCTCTCTATAACAATGGAATCAAGGAACACAAACAAAAGAAAAAAACTCATTGCTTGAATGACATACTTAATGATATTTTTGTTCAGAAAAGCAAAATAAAGAGAGGACAAAAGAAAAAAATATTAATGTAAACGAAAATTATTACCTTGCAACAAAAGATCAACTAAATAATAATAATCAACTATATAATTACCTCAATTATTGCTATTTATAACATGACATGTTTTTAATACGTAATATGTCAAATCAACTGTATGATATGATCCCAATGTATAAAAATCTAAGATTAAGACATCTTGAAATTGCAATTAATTAACGTACCCTTAAACATAATTCAATAATATATAGATGTGCTACAAATACGTATATATACTGACATACCCTTTGTACAACATTTATTTTATTTCTGATTTTATTTGTTGATGTTTATGTTTGATATGGAATAACAACTGAAAAAGAAAGTTTAAAAAAAAAAAAAAAAAAGAAGCAAATTTATACATTACATCATACAAAACCAAATTAATGTCTTATGTATAATATTCATTAACAAATTAAATTGTTTTATTTTAAAAAATTTATTTTTTTATATTATATTATATTATATTATATTATATATATATATACATATACATATATATATATATATATATATATAACATAATATATATACTTTTTAACGAATTCATATTAAATTGTTACAATAGTTCGTAGCGTTTTTAAAAGTAAAATTTAAATATAATGTTTAGACATTTGTACATAGTTTCTTATTTTTTTTATTTTATTTTATTTTATTTTTTTTTTTTTTTTATTGTAATCATGCATATAACATTTCGTTCGATTATTTTTCACCATTTTTGTGACAACTTCGTAATAATATCCTTTAAGAACTTGGTAGTTACTTTGGAGAAATTAATCGATGATTAAAATAATTTTTATAGACTTTCGAAAAAATCACGTATGTGTACCCGTTAATAGGAAATTTTTTTAATAGAAATCGAAATAAATGATCCAATTGAAAATACGATATATCCACATACAAATTATATCTATTTTTGACAGATCTGTATAAAGAGATGTTAAATATGTCATTGTTTCGATGAGAAATCAATAGTCTTTCAATTGGCCAATTCCGAATGTTTTTCATCGTCTGTCTCTGCCGTCACCAATCGATCCAATTGCTAACTATACTTTTCCGAATTCAAGGTCCAAACTATGCGAAAGGAATTCATAATAAAGAATATCCTTCCTTCGATCCCATTATAATCCGTCCAATAAGTTGAATCAATAGAGATATAAAGAAAAGCACGTGATAAATTTTAATGAGAAGGATGAATGTATTTCGTAATTCGATTCAAATATCGTCAAACCTTTTTCTTTTTTTTTTTTTTTTTTTTTTTTTTTTTTTTTTTTATAGATAAATTTTAGATAATATTTTTGGATAATATTTTCGAAATATTTAAATTAATAATCCTCGCAAAAAAAAAAAGAAAAAAAAAAAAAAAGAAAAAAAAAGAAAAGAAAACTTTTGCATTAATTATCGTTTAAAATTTAACAATTATTGATTATAGTTAATCGGAGAATAGTTGTAATCACATTGTTTTGATTTCCCGTTTACCACGTGTTTATAGCAAGCTAATGTTTTGTTTACCTCTCGGTTTTGTTTATCGACACGACTACTCATTGAACGGACTGTTGATACACACAATCATATCAGTTTCACTTCTTCGCAATGCGTATCATTTTTTGAACCTAATCAACGTTGGCTGTAATTTCGAGTTTTTTTTCCGTTTTTTTTTCTCTTTTTTTCTCTTTTTTTTGTTCTATTTTTTTTTTTTTTTTATTCATTAATCATCCGCACATCTCAACGATTCCGTCTGTTTGAATGTCTGTAAAAATATCTTCATCGTCATCATCAACGATTGGAATGTTTTCAATTTTTCAGATTAAAAAGAAAAAATAAAAAAAATAAAAAAAAATAAAAAAAATATTCCTACTCTTGAAGAGAGCTATCCAATTCCAGATAGAATTTGTTCGTACCTTTTTTTATTTTTATTTTTAACACAAATACATTTAAAATTCACCTAAAATCTACGCGCAAATCTATATATATATAGAAGGGGAGAAAAAAGAAGAGAGAGGGAGAGAGAGAGAGAGAGAGTGAGAGAGAGACATTTTACAATGTAAAAATTTCAAAATATATATGTATATCATTGGTTTCATTTTGAATAGGTGATATTTCACATGTTCAAATGTCATCTATTTTAAAACGCTACGAACTTTCATTCATATTTAATGTATAAAATCAAAATATTGCGTATTTTTTTCTTTTTTTTTTTTTTTTTTAGAAAACGCAATCTACAAATGATACCAAATATTTTTTTTTATTGAAGATGTTAATTTACACATATATAAAAAAAAAAAAAAAAAAAAAAAAAAGAAAAAAAAAGATCTATTGAAAATAAAGCGATTATATATTAAAATTAACTTACTGAACTTATTAGTCTCAATTTATTGATACACTGTTATGGTCCATTTCCATAGAATTGATTGGATCTAAAGATGGCATGTCAGCACTTTTTTGTATTTCCCGTGTAATATCCTCCAAAGTTTCTGGTTCCATTTGACTACAGCTTACATTATGTTCTACGGTGCTTAGATGATTTTGTTGTTTATTTGTGACTAAATCAAAAACATGTTCTTCCATTTCTACTACTGCATTAACAGATTCTTTATTATTTTGGTTTATTGAACTGACCTCTTTACATGTGGTAGGCTCGTTCATAGTTGTCAGATCATTAAGTAATTTTTGAGTATCATTCGTGCACTCCTTTTCTTCCTCTGATTTTTTAATATTAGATATATCTAATTCTTTATCTGTTTCTTGAACAGATTTGGAATTATCTTTTATTGAATTAGTATCGGATGTAGGAATATTACTTTCTAAAATGGTATTACAGCTTTCTAAACTGGTATCATTGATAATACCATTGTCCGTTTCATTCTTCTCATCTTTATTATCAGTACTCTTTTCATTCTCTACATTTAAATTCTCAATTGTATCATCGGCCAAATTGATGTTAACATTTAATATAGAATTGTTAGAATTTAAATCTTTGTTACTATTATTGATATCACTATTCTGCCCTTCTTTCTCTGCATTACTCATTTCAATTTCTTTTATTTTACATTCTCTTTCATCCGTTTCATCTACTTTTTTCTCCATTGTATTATCATCTCTTTTATTTGTCTCATCATCCTCTTTTTCATTCGTTGCATTATCTCTTTTGTTCGTTTCATCTTCTATTTCCATCGTTATATCCTTTGTTTCCATCGTCATGTCCTTTGTTTCCATCGTCATGTCCTTTGTTTCCATCGTCATGTCCTTTGTTTCCATCGTCATGTCCTTTGTTTCCATCGTCATGTCCTTTGTTTCCATCGTCATGTCCTTTGTTTCCATCGTCATGTCCTTTGTTTCCATCGTCATATCCTTTGTTTCCATCGTCATATCCTTTGTTTCCATCGTTATATCCTTCATTTCCTTCGCTATATCCTTTGTTTCGTCCATATTATTTTCTATTTCATTTGGACCATTTTCCTTTTCATTTTTATTATTTTCCATTTCCATTGTATTATCCTCTTTATCCTTTACTTCATTTTCTTTTTCCGTCGTCGTATCTTCTTTCTCCTTTACGTTGTCATCTTCTTCAACTTCTTCTATTTTATCTTTTTCCTTATTTCTTGTATTATCCTCGAGTTCCTCGATATTTTCATTATCTTCATCTTCTACATTTTCATTTATTTTCATCTTATCTTTATTCACTGTCTCTTCATTAATTTCTATCTCCATTTCTTTTATAGATCGTTCGGTATCTTTAGTTTTATCATTATTAGAATCATCATTTTGATTCTGGTCATTGTCAATGTCCTTTGAAGTATTATTATTTTCTACAGTGGTAACGATTGACTCACTTTTTTCTGTACTTTCAGATATTTTTTCTTTGTCCTTATTAACCTCAATAGGATCTTTTGAAATAGTATCTGTTATTGTTTCTATCAGTTCAGATTCTTCTCTAACTTCTTTATCAGTGATGTGCATTTCTAATGAATCTTTCTCTTCGTTCTCACGAATAGATTCTTTGATATCCTTATCTGACTTTTCTGTTGTATTTTGTATTACATCAGTTTGATTTGGTACATCCGCAGTCTCAGATTCTTCGTCATCAATAACAGAAAGTGTAATTTCTTCATTTTGTTGTTCATTTAATTCATCGTTGAATTTATCTACGTTCAATTCATCAATTTTCTCATCATCCTTGCATTTATCCTGAATTCTTAATTTATGCAATTTTAATTCCAACGTTTTGAAATGAGTTAATTCATGAGTAGCTAATTTAAGTTTATTCTCCAACGTTATACCACATTCACGACAAGTATATTTTTCCTTTCTATTTGAATCCATTTCATCCGCTTCCGTATTATCAGATGATGTTTCCTCTATTGATATCTTTGATTTTGAAATGGAAGTTTTACGTAATCTTTTTAATGGAAAACTCTTTGCCTTTGATGTTGATGTACTTTCACTGGCAGACGTTGAACTTGAATTTGATTTTTTCTTTCTCTTTCCAGTTATATTATTACTCGAATGAGTTTCAGATATATTAATTGATTGTTGTTCATTTGAATTCTTTACATTTATACTATCTCCGGTTAATGACGAATCATCACTTGTATTATCTTCCCTCAATGATTTCAAATTTCCCAAAGTTGTATTTCGTTTTTTTTTCTGTGGTTTATTAGTATCCATGTCCGACAAGGAATATACATTTTTATTTCCTTGTTTAATCCCTCTTGTTCTTAAGTTGGCTCGTAATCCTTTTCTCAATAAAATATCAGTATCAGAATAATGATTGCGTCCAGCAGATCTTTTTATACGATTTGTGTTTTGCAATTTTGATATCTTAGATGTTGTTTCCTTATCACTTTTCATTCTTTTGATACTTTTAGTTTCACTATCACTGCTGTCACTTTTCGTATGCATTTTCGAACGTTTTTGACCTATTTTTGGTTTATTATCAGATTCTTTGGAAATTTTTTCCTGAGATTGCAAAGATTCTGTATCAATTTTATCCTCCACATCGACTTCACTTTCACTGTCCGTTATAACGTATATATTGTTACCATAACTATCCTTTTCAACTTTATATCCCTTATGCTCTTTAAATGTTACATCAGTCAAAACATCTTTTAAGAATACCGCACATAATTTTGTATCTGATCGAGTTGGCTTTTTAAGTCTTGTCTTGCATTTACTAGGATCCATGCTTGTCCAACAAGTTTTACATACTGTTAATCTAGTTTTATAAAATCTATACATATCTTCGCCATCTTTAACAGAATTTTTACATGCGCCACAAAATCGAGGTTTCGGTTGAAGAGATGATATATCTTTATTCATTGTAACTTCAGGATTATCCGATTCAGAATTACTTAAAATATATGATCTTGTTTTCATGGATGCAGTTATGGTTGTCTTTCGTTTTATTACAATTGTATTAACCTACAACATATGTACTTGAGGAAGTTATATATATAAAAAAAAAAAATAATAAATAAATAAATAAATAAATAAATAAATAAATTAACAGACAAAAAAACTAATAATTAATATAAAAATATATTACCTTTGGTAATATAGAATAGTCTATGTTTTTAGAAAATGTATCCCTTTCTTTAGAAAATTCTAAATACAAAGATCTTAGGTCAAACAATATATCCAAGCTGTATCTGCATGTTAGACACATTAATATGATTCCTTGGCTATATTCAATGAGCTATAAAAATATAGGTGTGTTAGTAATATTGATAATTTACAATTTTATTTTTATATGAACGATTATAAATAGCAAGTCATACTTCATCTTGAAAAAGCTGCTGAACTTTAGATATTAGATCATCATTAAGATTATTTAAAGGATGGAGGCAACGGTTCAAATGAAAAATATATCTTCTCTTTCCTGATTCCAAACAAAACGTACAACATTTCCTTTTATAGATACTATTTCCTATGGTTTTGCGAGCATCTTTATACTTCTTCAAAAAATCACTGCATTGTCTTAATTCAAATGCACATTTATAACAAACTTTATTGCTGATTTTCTTGTCCACCTATATTAAGGGGAAATAAATTTTTGTCATAGAAATACGGTATTGTGAAAGGAGGAAAAAAACAAAAAAAGAAAAGAAAAAAAAAACAAACAAAAAAGAAAAAAAAATTGGTTTTATACATATTAACATATACATTGTTTAGAATAAATAAATACAATAGAAGGTTAATAATGAAAAATTGCATAAGCATTATCATGACTATATAATATAACGAAAGTAAACTAATGAATGTTAAAATTAAATTGTATTAATTTATGAAACATGTATTACTAATGTGAAACGTTAAAACGTAGAAACGTGAGGATATAATGCGTATTCATTTGCGCACGCCCCAACCTAAATACTTTTAGAATTTGTTTTGATGTAACACGAGTATTGTCTTTTGTAATGTTTATTAAAAAACAAAAAAAAAATTGAATGTACCTTTAATGACAAAAATGTTTCGACATCGCCACGTAATGTTTTATAGTTAGTAGGCGTAATATCAAGAAAGACGCCTTCATCGGTGAGACACAAAAAACAATATTCCGACATGGTCACATATGTTTTACACAAATTAGCATAGAATAAAAAAGAAAATAATACGATTGCATGAAAGCAAATATTTATATTAATATCATGTGTACATACACATACGCGATAACATTTACAAAATCCTCGTTCACGCAACTTCGATTTGGCGGTAACAACGGGCACCGCTATGCTAAAATGGCCGACATACTTTTCGATATATCGAATCTAATTATTACTTTAACAATCGATTTATATATTTTTACACTACGCGCAACTTCATTGACAAAACTTCATTGAATAATATCATTTGAATATCATTTGAATTTTTTTTTCAATCCAACCATTTATGCGTTTACTTTTCATATATAAAATTACAAATAAACGAATAATAATATAATAAAAAGTATTATCAAGTACAATGAATCTTATCAAAATAATTATTATTTCCAATTGATATTAATGAATGATAAAGAAAGTAAAGCCCCCTAAAAAAAAAAAAGAAAAAAGAATTTATCACGAGTTTTATATTATTATATACGTAACAACGAATATAAAGATTTCAATTAGATTCATCGAATATTTGTGCATTATTTTATTTTATTTTTTGTTTTGTATTTTTTTTTTTTTATTCGTTAACTTTTTATATAATAAATAACATATATAATAATACCCTAATGAAAATATTTATTAAGAAGAATTTTATTACATAATAAGAAAATTATATTGCATATAACGACTTAGAAATATATGAACGAGATCTCTATAATTCACCGTCAACACTATAAAATTGAATAAGAATCATTTGATAGTACTCACATACATGTATAAATATATATACACATACACACACATATATATATATATATATATATATTTATATATATATATATATTTATATATATATATATATTTGTGTTGAATGAATGTATGCACTTCAAATGTACATGTTCTCTTTTACAAGTGTCTACAGTAAAGATAATCAAAAAATTTATTTAACTTTATGATCACTTGACTTTCTGAAGTATATTATTATTCTTATCGTCATTCTTTTTGACATCTTTATCCATGGATGCTTCCAGTTGATCAACGTGGCCGATAATGTTGGATAACATAATAACAAATGTATTCATCGTTGATGAAGCTACATGTCTAAGAATAAAAATATAAAAATATATTAAGAAATTAATATTGTTAAATATATAATGATAGAAAATTTATATACATATATATATATATATATTTATATATTATATATTTCTGATATATTTCAGATAGGTCAACAAAGAGTATAAGAATAAAAAGCATTTTAAAAATAGGATAATTATGCTAATATATTCTACATAATCATCAAGAAAAAAATTTACGGTATGTACATTTTGTAAATTCAATGAAACAAATATATATATATATATATATATATATATATTATCAACTTTCACGTCTAAAATCTAAAACCTTCAATATTAAATATTACAATTACAATTTAAATATTACAAATGTTTCTATCCAAAACAATACCTAAACCTAAAAACTCTTCACTGAAAAAACTTAGAGATATATAATAAACACATTATATTATTTTATAATTAATTACATATATATATATATATACATACATATGTATGAAAATTATTGAATTAACGCGATATTACTTTACATATTTAATATTAATAAAAGAAAAAAAAAGAAAGAATCACAATTACCTGATGTTATTGCTGATATTTTGGAATATCTCATAGGGTGATAGTTTAATGGAAGGTACTTTCTCTTCTAAAAAATCCAAACCAATGCAGACAAAATTGTCGACAGTTTTCATTGGTGTTTCCAATGTTTCGCCTATCCGATTGGTCATTGGACTAATATATTCGGCGCCTTTACTCAATCCATTTTCCAAACTATCAAATACGATGGTAACGGACTCATGGGATTCTTTAACCGTTCTGTATGTTTGACATAAGGTTGAGGTTACCGATAAAAATATCGGTAATCGAAAGAGACGCCGTGTACAGACCATACAACTTTCCTCTTCTTTTTTAATTAATTTATTATCATTGTTATACGTAGGATTTGCAAGATCGTTCATCCCAGTCATAATACTGAGTTGCTAAAAATGCAAAACAGAAAAAAAAATCAAGTTCGACATTATATTTTTCATAATCGTCACGCAACATTGGTTTCTGATTTTGTCATACGAAAGTAAATAATATCAATTATGATAAACAAATATAATATATCTTTACAACGTGATAAAAATATATTTTCGAAGAAACGACATATATATTTATTTGAATCGAAAATGACAACAAATATAAATATTAACTAATGATAATAATAATAACAATAACAATAACAATAACAATAATAATAATAAATAATAATAATAATAATAATAATAATAATAATAATAATAATAATAATAATAATAATAATAATAATAAAAACGAAGAAATTTTACTAGGAAAAAAAAAAAAAAATATTTTCCTAGAGGATTCGGACTAAAATAACACTAGGAGAAAAAGATTAAGGTTCGTACGCAAGAGAAAGTTATCGAATGCGAACACTTCAAAGTTCTATGCTGCTAACCACACACAAACATATTTACACACATATATACATATATATATATATAACACTATACAGTGCAATTATCACTATATAGTGGAAAAAACATATATACATATTTTTCAATCGAATGCTTAAAAATAATGATACTTGACACGTCACATTTCGTTCGTTTTAAAGGCATTTGTAAAGGGAAAAAATAAAATGAAGAAAAGAAAAAAAAAAAGAAAAAAAAAAAAAAAAATAAAGAATTAAAAATAAACGAAGGTATTGCGTGGAGCAATGTGCACGTGTAATGAACAAATGCAAACACTGAATATCTTCAAAGAGTTCTACTCTTTGTCAAATAATACGCACACGATATGCAATGCGCACGATAGTCGAAGGGGTCTCTCTGATCTTGAAGGAATTTTCGGAGTTATCCATACTCTTCCACCTGACGATTTTTAAACTCTCTCTCTCTCTCTCTCTCTTTCTCTCTTTATCTCTCTATTTGTCTATCTATCTCTTTCTTTCTTTTAACGGAGTCTTTTATTTCCACAATTTACGACGGAAGTCGGCGGAGTTCACAACGAAATTACTTAGAATATTGTCCCGCCGAAATTGTTTTCTTCTTTCTTTTTTCGCCTTTATTTGTCTGTCTCCTTTTCTCTTTCTCTTTTCCTCCCTCTTACTCTCTCTCTCTCTCTCTCTCACTCTCTTTCTTTCTCTCTATGTATCTCTATTACTCTTTCTTCTTTTCGTCCCTTTTCTGTCTCTAAATATAGAAGGAACGACCCTGAAGAAATTCTGCTTTATTAACAAAAACCAAACCTCTCGCGACGTCGATCGAAGCTACGACTCATTATTCCCCCACTCTTTCTCACTCAACGCTTTCTTTTCTTTCTATCCCTCCTCTCTCTTTCTCTCTCTCTCACTCTCTCTCTCTCTCTCTCTCTTTCTCTTTCTGGTGACGTCAAGTGAGAATTGGAAACTCGCCGCAACGCGGGAAATTCAAATTCAATTTTGCGATTCGTATCTACGTAACTTTAAGCTTATTTTATTCATTTGTTTATTTATTTATTTCCCCCCCCATAATTTTCGAATAATTTCTATTTAACGTAGAGAATCGTTGATCGTAAATTTAATCTTTTTTTTTTGTTTTTGTTTTTTTTTTTGCCCTCTACGATTCCACGCTTTATTTCTATGTCTCTCACGACGTCGTGTTGAAAATTGTAAACTCTACCTTAACGCGGGAAATTCAAATAGATTTCTTATATTTTCTCTTCTCGTAACTATATTTATGTCGATCGTAACGATGTATATTAGGGAGATCGGAAAGTAATGTCGTTTCTGCACATGTCAATATTTGATTGTGATTAAAAATAAAAACTTGTTAAAAATTTATTCGTTTGTATTTAATTTAAGAAAGCGACATTATTTTCTGGTCCACCTAATATATTTATATATATATATTTATTTTTTCACTTCTGTTTTTTTGTTTTTATTAATTTTCTACTTGTTACTATTTATAATATCGAATCGTCGATCTACATAAATTTATTCTTTCTAAAATATCGAATTTATATTTGCAATGAATTAGATCAAAATTTTTCAAGATTATTTAAACGCTCGATTCGTAAACGACGATTTGTACGATTGGTTTTTTCGGAGGTGTTGCCGTAGCGGATGCTGCGATATCTCGTAATACAGCTTCAACAGCTTCTTCCCATTCTTTTTCTTTGGAATCAGATCTATCCGATTGTGACCATTTTAATCGTGGCATCGAGACCACCGTTAATACTTTTCTAAAAATTAGAAAGAAATTTTGTTGAAAATTGTAAAGAAGAAGAAAAAAAAGAAAAAAAAAATAAAAGAAAAGAAAAATAACACTGAATATCATTAGATGACAATATAATAGATATATTTTCAATACCTGAGATCAGAATGAAGAGCAGACATATCACCGCCAGCATGTTCACCCAATTTCCGTATAGTTTCTGCCAATGGTCCGCTCAATGCTTGCAATCTTCTCCAAGATTGAGCGTACTGTCTTCTTACCAGTTCTATGATAGTACTGGTCAATGCTAAGCCCACCAGGATGTATAAGGTACACAGTAACGTATACTTTGGCTTCTCTGCGCATGGGATCGACGATACGAAGGGTAGCTATAATTACGTATAGGACAAACTGCGCGAAGATATTCAAAAGTCAATCATAGTTACTACGTTTAAAAGATTTTCCTACTGAAAGGACGAGAACATGAAAAATTCTGTTTAAATCAATTCTTTGATATATCAAGATCACGTTATAATGAGAATTTTTAAATGCATTCAATCATCATGTATCCTTTGTTTTTTTGTTTCCTCACAAAAAAAATAATGTCACACAAATTAAATTGTTATCGTACACTTACTTGGAACAAGATCGCCAAATCCTATGGTTGTCATCGTCACGAAACAAAAATAAAATCCTTCGAAAAAGCCCCAATCGTCTTCCCAAAGCATGAACATACCTGCACCGCACGCCAAATATACGAAAAGTAATGCGACCGCTGCGACTGCGCCTAAATGACAAAAAGGAGGGAAAAAAAAAAAGAAAAGAAAAGAAAAGAAAATAAATCAAACAAAAAAGATTTCTTTTCGAGATTGCAATTTCGAACGATTTGTCTCTCGTTATATCTTTTTTGCTTTCTCTCCAAATATTATTTCATTACCAACTGATCTCCTTCCGGCTAGATTCATGGTGAAGCATGGTGTAGCTGTTATAAATGATAATCTCGATTTTGCTATTACGGTTAACTGGACGACAGCCTCGGCGAAAAGTTTGCCCCAATCAGCGATTACCGTCAAAGTTAAAGGAATTCCTATGATGGCGAAGAGTATGCAAAAGATTCTTCCATAATTCGTTGATGGTACTACGTTACCGTAGCCTAAAGACGAGGCAGAGGAGAGAGAAAAAAAAGAAATAACAAAAAAAAAAAAAAAAAAAAAGAAAAGAATCAAAATTTATCCTTCACGATAGAAAATATTACGTATATCGTTAGAAATTAAATAAAAAAAAAAAGAAAAAAAATATATATATATATAAATATATATACATATAATCGTAATTTACCGATTGTTGTGAGAACCGTGCTCGCAAAAAATACAGCTTGAAGGACGCTCCAGCGATCGGTAGAAATCGGTGGTAACTCAATTAATCCTCGATCATCCTGTTCTATAGCTTCCGTAACAAAACTGACCAACATACCAGCTTCGGCAGTTTCTTGAATTGCCTCCTCGTATTCTCGTAATTTTACATTCACCTACAAGATTATTAATTTTTTATTTTCTTTTTTGTTTTTTCTGTTTTTTTTTATTCTTTTCTTTTTATTAGACATACACACACACACACACACACACACACAAAATAAAATTGTAATCTTGTAAGTAGCAAGAAATTTTATATACTCGCCAGAGTTCTCAAGTTGGTAACATCGGTATTGTTAGAAATCGTATCGAGAAATCTGTATCTTTGCGTACGTAACTTAGTACGTAATCTTTCTAATCTTGCTAATTCCGCCGGTAGTTCGATCTGTCGAAATACCTGAAATAATTTCTTTAATATATACGTAAATAAAAATACGCGAAGAAAATTTTCAATGCTCGAGAGTATCATTACGATCGTTTTTTAATTCCATCGAAAGTCTTCGATTTGTCGAAAAAAATATAATGAAAATATTTACGCGATCGTTCGAATCGTTCTAAATACCATTTGGAAATTTCGATCCGTTCGAAAAAAATTAAAAAAAAAAAAAAAAAAAAAAAAAAAAAAAAAAAAAAAAAACAAGAAAAAATCTGAAATAATTATTTCTTCATGAAAAATAATAAGGAAATATTATAACGAAAATTGTCCTTTTATTTGTTTTTTATTTTGTTTTATTTTTTTTATTTTTTTTTTTTGGGAGGGGGTTTTTTTCGATCGATTAATATCAGAGTTAAAATTATTCCTTTGGCAATGAAGAAGAAGAAGAAGAAGAAGAAGAAGAAGAAGAAGAAAGGAGAAGAAATATGATTCCCTTTTTCCATTTTTAAACGCACTTGACAATAAAAGGTATAAGTTTTCTGAAAGAAGATCCGTTTAGTCGCTTCCGCTTGAATATGAGTGTCCACTTAACGTTAATGCACATCTAAAGCATTTAGAAACAAACATTTGTACGGATTTGTAATTTCAAATGTGATAAAATTAGATTTCGTTTACCCTATTTGTTTCTTTTTTTTTTCTTTTTTTCTTTTTTTCTTTTTTTTTTTTTTTGTTAAGGATTTTATAAATTACTCAAAGTAAAAATATATATCAAATCATTTAAATATTTGTAAGTTATTCCTCGAACTCGACGTTAAACTAAAAATCAAATAAACCATTAGAAGAGAATAAAGAGAATTAATGATCTAATTCGATCTAAACGTTGAACAATTGTTATTTTAAAATATGCCCCAGGTATGTGATAAATTTGTTCTGATTTTTTTTGTGTTTTTTTTTTTTTTTTTTTTCTTTTCTTTTCTTCTCTTCTTTTTCTTTCTCACGAAAACACGTTCAAGTATATAAACGCGATGAGATTTTCTGTGGAAATTCATACATTTGTAAAATCCAGCCGTGAACGTTCAAGTTGAAATACCATTTTCATCGGCCTGCTCTCTTCAATAACTAAAAATAGAATCGAATTGGATAGCCCGAGGGCCAAACGTTTGTTGTAAAAACAAACTTATTTCTCCCGAAACTGATCGTTTCGTATTTACATATACGTAAACAAAGTAAACGTAATGACTCCTTTGCTTCTTCATTTATTGCGTAAATGAACGAAAATAATGTTGTCCGATGAGTATACAAAAAAAGAATGTTTGAAAATTAAACGATTAAATATTTTCTTTCTTTCTTTATTCATTAGTTATTATCATTATTTGTTTATTTATTTTCTAATACGATTACAAATTCATAAAATATTGCATCGATAATAATTGCAAAAATTGATTTTTTATAACTCACCATACCACCGGCTGCCGTATAAAGCATCAATGTAATTAAAAGTCCAACATGTCCAGCGATCGATTTTATTTTTCTCATAGTTTCTTCTCGTAAATATGGTTTAATTTTGTCAGAATTTCTAATATCATTTGAAGATTCTGATCCGTTAATATCTTTGGTAACTCCATTGTATTGACCAAGTTCAATAGACGAATTTGTTTTTTTATTAATTGTCATTATATAAATGAAATAAATTGACTGTCTCCAATAACAGGAACCGTGCAAACGGAACAAGCAATCGTCACGGACTGATGCAGATTCCACAATGATCTTCGATAACTTCAAACACGTCTCTCCCGAATAAGATCGAACGGAACTCCATCTCTTCGGTTTTATCTATCAATTCAATTTACCCGCCACTCTAAGCGTCATCTAACAACGAAATGTTCAAACTAATATTTTTCATTTTTTTTTTACATTAATTATAAGCTACGTTATAAGAAACGTAGTGTGAATGATCGATATTAAATAAAAATCTTATAAATCGTTCGATTAATAACATTTTTTGTTTTTTCCTTTTTTGAATTGCAATTTTTTCTCAACTTTTAGATTGTAGGTTTTTTTTTCTCTAATCTTTTCTTTTTTTTTTTTTTTTTTTTTTTTTCGAAGTATAAAAACTTATATTCTTAGGAAACTTTCATGCTTTTGTTCCTTGTTTTTTTTTGTTTTTTAATACAAGAATGGGTTAATAACTTGTAAAATCTTTATTACATGTAATTTATTATTCATCAAAAATTACTCGAGTATTTTTTCTTCTTTCAAATTATTGGCGGGTTATTATCGTGGTGATCACTGGGTATAAGCAACGAGTAGGTCCCTCTGGCTGTAGAAACTGTAAGGATAAATTTATTATGATCTGTATTATGAACTTAAAATTGTACTTTTCGTCAGTTTTCATTATAAAAAACTTGTGCTAGTTTTGTTGTTTATTGATACTTTATTTGTTTTAAAAAGAGGAAATTTTTGAGAATAAAAAAAAACGTATATATATATATATACGTATATACATATATATATATATATTTGAGATTTGAAAATTATATTCGATAACCAAAAACTGTTCGTTGTGAAAGTTTTTCTTGATATTTTATCATATGAATTCTTAAAAGGTTAAGCATAATTTTCCAAATGATAATATCAATTTGTGATTATATAAAATATAAGAAAAGAAATATTGATAGTAAAATAAAATCTTTATCGTTTCAGTTGTATTATTAGATAGATAACCAAGATAAAGAAAAAATTAAAACATGTATCAAGACGCTAATATTTGTTAACAACAAGTTTTGATCATGACAACGGTGAAAGTTCATGGGGGAATAGATATATTGCGGTTACCTGTTAATGAAGAAGAGCATGTCTTTCCACCATGGCAAATCAAATATACTCAATCTCATATACTTCACTCCAAGTGTTCAAAAAGCGAGAATGGCTGCGGTGACCAAGATGCTACTGCATGTCAATTTTGCATGTATGACATTTTCTTATTTTGTAATATCTTAATTGTTATTATAATATACGTTATCATTTTAGAATATTTATATATTTTCTAAAAAAATCTTTGATAGATATAGTAAAACTTTAGAACTGCCACATATGCCAGATATGGTATTTCCAAATAATGTATTAACTTTGAAACATCGGGATGGAGCTATCTTGCAATTTAATGCACTTGATGCATTGAAATATGTTTCCAATGGTAAAATCAATGTACAACTTGCTTGTGCTGAAGCATGGAAAGAATCAAGGTAAATATATAATCCTTACTATTGAATTAATATACATATAAATTATAGATTATATTTATAATTCATATGATATATACAAAATAATTTATAATAGATCCGAAAGCAGTGAATTTTTAGAGGAAAAAGTTAAACCATTCGATTGGACATTTACAACCAATTATACAGGTACAATATCTGGATTTCATTTGGAAGAAACAAAAGATAGAATTGATTTAGACAAATTGAGAAGAAAGGAAAAAATTAGATTTTATCATGATTTAACACTTTTTGAAGATGAGCTTCATGATAATGGCATCGCCGTTTGTTCTGTTAAAATTGTAAGTATGTAAAAATATAACATGACAATCGCATATTATAAATAATCAAAATCTATACACCTTTATGTATTATTTCTTTTGTTAGCGTGTAATGCCTACTAGTTTTTTCATTCTTCTACGTTATTTTTTGAGAATTGATAATGTCATGCTAAGAATAAAGGATACTCGCATTTATCACGAATTTGGACAAGATTATCTTCTACGAGAATTTACAACTCGGGAAGCCAAAGTTCAAGATATTCATGTAAGTACAATCGTCATTGCAATTTAACAATTATATGTAAAATAATTTTCTTTATTATTTTTAAACAATAAATTATAAAAACAAAATATTTTCAATAGGTATCTCCAGTATTGTTCATAGAACCAAGTGAGATAGCACCTCACTTACCGTTAACTGAAAGTTACTATCATAAATTAACTGTACAATCAAAAGAAGAATCGAAAGTAGAGGATGGAACATCGACTTCTGTTGATAACAACACAGTAGATAATACTATTACTTAATCTTTATAGACATTTTCTGGAGAAAAAAAAAGGAAAAAAAAAATATGGGTGATATCAAATATACTCAATCACAATTTATTACCTAAAGAAAAAGAGCTAAAAACTTGCACGTATTTTCTGCAATTGAAGAGAAAAGAAAAAAGAAAAGAAAAAGAAAGAAAGAAAAAAAAAACATTATAAAATACTTTTCAGAAAATATATAGGATATTGATTTTATATGATCAATATAATTTGCTTGAAATCAGGTCACAGTAGTAAAGAAAAGGAGTGTGTAATTTCTATATGAGATGCAACATTAAAAAAAAAAAAAACAAAAAAAAAAACAAAAAAACAAAAACATAAAAAAAAAAAACAAAAAATAAACAAAAAAAAGCAAAAAAAAATATGTTAAGCAATAATTTTCTGTTTAATCCGTAATAAAGTCGTTTCACATAAAAAAGAAGGAAAAGAAAAAACAAAAAATTTTATCAAATATCTTTGTAAGTGTAAATTATTTACTGGAATCAAGTGTTCCATTCGTATCCATTAGCTTATCGGAAGAAAGTCATTATCAAACGAGAGATTAAAATATCTATTTCTGGTAAGATACGATATAAATATATAACTCCCATAATAATAGATTCACACATTAATTTTTCCTATTTGATGTTTCTTTTTTTTTTCTTTTTTTTTCTTTTTTTTTCTTTTTTTTTCCTTTTCGTTTTTTATTTTTTTTTTTTTTTTCTAGATGAACGTCTTAATAATTCTGGATGCAATGAGACAATATATTACATCTTGACTATAATGCTGAATGAAAATGATATAAAATGGGTCAGATCGTACTATAAACGTATTCATAAAGACGAATGATATATATATATATATACTGATAATAAAATCAGTAAATCTATACATATTAACATCGTACGTCTATATACCGATAGATATCATTTCAGAATTATCAACGAATTTTCTTTACGAGGAATAAAATCAATAAAAAAAAAAGAAAAAAAAAAAAAAAAAAAGAAAGCGGTTTGTAATATTAGATAAAATATAATTTTAATTTTGCAAAGATTTCATCGATGCGTTTGTCACTTAAGTGCATTCCCTAGATTCTTTTTCTTTTCTTTTCTTTCTTTCTTTTTTGTTTTTTCTTCTTTTGTTTTGCCCTTTTTCTACTTTTTTTTTTTTTTTTTTTTTCCCTTCTTTTTCTTTTCCTGATAATTTACAACAGGAATCTCTTGACATTCATCCTTCATCAATATTAATTATTTCACGAGTGATTTTCAATAGTTATAGACGTGATCGTTGAATGGGTTGTAGGTATCGATGACAACATCATTCACGTTTCCATAATACAACCGTAGAAATGGCAATTCCCAGCCATATGCTTTACATAAAGCCACACCTTCGACTTGCATAGTCGATGTTAAGCGGGTGTGACTAGAGCGAATGGGCACGTACAACGAAAACAAAGATTTCTTCATATATATATATATATATATATATATATATATATATATATATATATATATATATATATATATATATATATATATATATAGTGATCGGATTTTTCATAAGCGAATTCATGTTTAAATATAAATCATTCCAAAGAATATAGAAACAATCGAATATAAATCCAGATCAATCTATTATGGATAATCATTTGGAAAGATTTAATTGGATAATTTAAAGGGACAAAAATTATATTATAAAAAATTAGAACCTCTGATGAAAATCATTTAGAAGAAAGTGGTACGACATATTCATAATAACGTTAATTTCCAAAGGAGGCCAAGGATACTATGTAATACGAACGAACTCAAGTCGTCCGCGTTAATAACGATGTTACGCTGTTGTTGATGTCATGACCATTAAGTTGGCCCATATATATATATATATATATATATATATATATATATATATACATATGTATATATAATGCATCCTTACATTTTTATTTTTTCTACCATACGAATAGTATTCATGAATCACAAGTAAGAATGAGAGAATACATTGGGAGAATTCAAAGCATTAACTTCGTAATTAATGACAGGTGAATGAATAATAAACATATTGATTTTATGTGCTATCAGCTGACACGATCGAAACGTTAATTTTTCTTCTTTTTATTTCCTTCCATAATAAAGATCGATCGATCGATCTAACAAACATGATCATTGAAAGGAACTCTTTCATCAAAATGAAAGAGAACTTGGTCATGAAAATTCTCTCTCTCTCTCTCTCTCTTTCTCTCTCTCTTTCAAGATACCAATAAATTATTGTAAGTTCAAAGTTCAAGACTTCTATATCACGTGCTACTATTAACTTTCTTATCGAATTTTAAGTTTGGTCTATGCAACCGTGTCTCTCTCTCTCTCTCTCTCTCTCTCTCTATCTATCTATCTATCTATCTATTTATCTTTCTTTTTCTCTCTCTTTCCCTCTTGGCACGCGCTAAGTCGCGCACCAGCCAAGGCGTAAGCCAATTTTCAGTTCCTAAACTAAAGCAAATCCTCCTCCTTCTGGTCGTTCTTCCCCGGCGATATCTGACCTTGGAAAGGTCACGTCTCTTTCACGCACACCTCGCCGCATTCCACAAGTACCCCCGCGCGCGTTCTTAGCGAATGCAATTGTATGCTTATCGCGAAGAGATCCGTACGAGGTACGAGTTCAGAGACTTGGGATTTGGATGAATAGATAAGGACGAAGTAGATGTATCAAGGTCACGTCTGGAAACTATCCAAAGGTACTTACCTACGTATTATACGTATGTGTATGTGTGTGTGTGTGTGCGCGCGCATATATATATATATATTAAACAATATCAAAAAGAAAACAAAGAAAAAGAAAATAGAAACAAAGGAAGGAAAATATCGATTGAAAATCCTTGGAAAAATCTTGATCAAATGTTCGAATCAATTCGATAAGAGATCGACGTGTGTCGTCGTCAATCGAGTGATCCTGGAGTAA